CAAGGTCAGTGGTTCAAATTCACCAACTGCTCCTTGGAAACCCTATACAGGATCGCTATGGATCAGAATCAACTCAATGGCACTTAACAACAACAACAACAGTAAGCAAAATATGACCATGACTACATCCTACATGAATTCAGACACCGTCTTAGAACAAATCAGACACATTAGACACTAATGACCGAAGCCCAAAGTCATGTAGGACAACATCAAGAAAGCAAAATGTCAGTAAAAGAAAGACCAAAGTGAATCTCAGAATAGACACTGAAACTTGATCTTGACCAGAACAGATAAAGGAAAAAATGATGCAGTAAAAGAGTTGAACAGAACATTTAAGAGAACAGCTTGAGAAGACAAACAAAAATATATAATGTGCAAAGATATGGATTTACAAAACCAAAAGCGTAGAACACTCTTGGCATTTCTCAAGCTGAAAAAAAAGTGAAGAAAAAATTCAAACCTTGATTTGCAATAGTGGAAAACTCTAATGCCCAAATACTGAATGATGCAGAAAGTACCAGAAGTAGATGAAAGGAATCGAGTTATAATACCAAACAGTCAATGATCAAGCATTGGTGGTGGTGATGTGCCGCGGAGTCAGTTCCAACTCACAGCAACCCTGTACAGGGTTTCCAAGGCTGTAAATCTTTACGGGAGCAGAAAGCCTCATTTTTCTCCCCCAGAAGAGCTGGTAGTTTCAAACTGCTGACCCTGAGGTTAGCCACTACGCTACCAGAGTGCCTCGTTTAAGCATTTAAGACTTAGCATATGACAAAGAATCAAAGTTACTGAAGGAAGAAATCCATGCTGCACTGAAGACAAACATGGATCCAGGAATAGATGGCATGCCAACTGAAAGGTTTCAGTAAATGGAGGAGAGACGGGAGCACTCCGTAACTGTCGTGGATAGAATTTTGTCCCCACCAAAACATGTGTCAGCTTGACTGCATGATTTTCAGTGGTTTGTTAGTTATGTAATGACTCTCCAGATAAGATCTGATGTGATAAGTCAATGAGAGGCATGCACCATCTTTAATACCATCAAGACGCTGATTTGATGTAAGAGAGCTGCCAGGAGTGTAGCCTGCAAAAGGACAGAGAAGTGGGCAGGGAGTGGAGTGGACACTTTGCAGCTGGGTTTCCTGCACTGTGAAGCTTTTGTTGTTGTTGCCAAGTGCCACCGAGCTGGTTCCAACTCATAGTGAACCTTGATAGTGTTTCTGAGGGATGGCTGGTGGGTTTGAACTGCTGACCTTACGGTCCAGTGCATTATTCTGCAGCACCACACCAGGGCTCCTAGACCCAGGGAAACATGAATGTCATGACACATGGTTCTCTCCAAGGGACAGATGTTGAGGCAAGGACCGTTCTTCAGAGCCAGCTCTCTCAATTTGGACTTCTAACCTCCTAAATTGTGCGAATAACTTTGCTCACGAAAGCCATACACTTGCATCATTAATATCACACCCAAGTAAAAACTCCCTTAAAGATAACTGAAAAGTGGATGCAGTAACGTAGCAGGAAGCTGCCAGGGATTCATTGTGAATTCACAAGAGGACGTGGCTCAAGATACACCATTTCTGACGCTGCAGGGGTCTTGACGTAAAGCAGAGTGCAGTGTAGTGAATTAACATTTCCTCCAGCTATAGTTTATATATATATATACATACACCCATGTTCATTGCAGCTTTATTCACAACAGCAATAAGATGGAGACAACCCAGATGCCCATCAGCAGAGGGATGGTTGAACAAACTTTGGTACACACACACAATGGAAGATCATGCAGTATTGAACAATGATGCATCTGCAAAACACCCATACCACAGATGAACTTGGAGGACTATTATGCTCAGCAAAATGAGTCTATCACAAAGGGACAGCTATTGTAAGCGACCACCACTGCAAAAAGTCAAGAAAAGTTTTTCATTCTAGAATAAACTTTCTGTGATGGTTAACAGGGGTGGGTGGGAAGGAAGAATTATTTACTGGGTAGAATGTAGACATGTCTAGCTATAGTTTTGTAAACTAATGCCAGATGACATTTTTCTGATGGGACTGGTTAAAAGAAGGTTGGCGACAGATACTGCATATTATATGATTTGTTAATGACTGTGATCGTAAAACCTGGAAATCTAATGAAGAGATTGGTCAATGTTACTTTCCGACTAGATTTTGTATGAGCCATCTCTCAAGTAGGAAGAGATGATCTCATTACCAAGAAGAGCCAGGAGTAGAGCGTGCCCTTTGGACCCCGAGATCCCAGCGCACTGAATTTCCTTAACCAAGGAACACACAGCTTTGTGATAGAGGCAAGACAGGAGCATCAGACTGCAGACTCAGAGCACGAGACGAGTTTGGCAGACTTGCTTGCTGAGTGGGGTGCCACAGGTAACTAACTGGTGCGGGGGTATGTTTGCTGACTCCCACATGGAGCTAGAGCCAAGTGCTTCTAGGCTGAGGCTTATGCAGGTGTGGTGTTTTCTGTGGGCATTTTATCAATAGACCTAGAAGAGTAACGTAGCACCGCTGAAGCAGGACAAAGACCAGGCCATGGGGCTGCGGGCCAGAGCGAACCTATCTGTGGGCATGGCAAGGGACAGGCTGTTCGGACTGTATGAACTGTGCCCAGAACATTTCTCCCTGTGAACTGTAACCTGTTAGCTTTCCTAATAAACCCACTGTTGAGTATGGTGTCTGAATCCTGCGTGGTTGTTGCAATGAATTACCGAACACAACATGAGTAGACAATGCTCTGGGAGAAAGGACTGATTCCATATTTTTTGCACAGAGAACACCAGAAATATGTTTACTTGTGTTTTATTGACTATGCAAAAGAATTTGACTGTGTGGACCATAACAAATGATGGATTACATTGCAAACAAAGGACATTTCAGAACACTTACTTGTGATCATGCGGCGCTTATACACAGACCAAGAGAAAATTGTTGAAGCTTTACATAGGAATGCTGAATAGTTTAAAATCAGGAAAGGTGTGCATCAGAGTTGTAGCCTTCCAACAATTACTTGATATGCATGCTGAACAAATAGTCCGAGAAGCACATACGCAGGTCAGTGAACACACGGACAACACTCAATGGGAAGGACTGATACAGTGGCTGTCGTAATGGTTCAAACGTGATGAAGAATGGGGACAGCTTAGGGCAGGAGTAGTCCATTCTGTTGTTCACAGTGGAGCTGTAAGTTAGAGCCAAATCAATGGCACTGGCTTAGACCGGGTTTTCTGGAGAAGCAAACCCAGTGAAGCTTATATATATATATATATATATGTTGTTGTTAAGTGCCATCGAGTCGATAGCGACCCATAACGACCCTGTATAGGGTTTTCAAGGAGTAGCTGGTGAGCTTGAACCATTGACCTTGCAGTTCAAACGACTTTTCAGTCTGACGCATTAGCCCACAGTGCCACATCAGGACTCTCTCTCTCTCTCTCTCTCTCTCTCTCTCTCTCTCTCTCTCTATATATATATATATATATATATATATATATATATATATTTGTTGTTGTTAAGTGCCGTGGAGTCGGTTCAAACTCATAGTGACCCTGTACAGGGTTTCCGAGGCTGTAAATCTTTACAGGAGCAGAAAGCCTCATCTTTCTCCCACGGGCAGCTAGAAGTTTAGAAATGTTGAACTTGTGGTTCGCAGCCCGATTTGTAACCACTACGCTACCAGATATATATATATATTGTTAAGTGCCATCAAGTCAGTTCTGACTCATAACAACCCTGTATAGAGTTTCCAAGGAAGCAGCTGGTGAGTTGAACCATCTGTGGTTCAAAGTGACCTTGTAGTCTAGCAGTACCACACCAGGACTCTCTCTCTCTCTCTCTCTCTCTATATATATATATATGTATATTCTTACACACAAATATATCAGTTGATATCAAGAAATTGGCTCACACAGTTAGAAAGGCAGGCAAATTCCAAGTTCATGGGCTACATGTCAGGCTGAAGGCTCTCCTCACTCAAACAGCTGCAGGAACCGATGACCCCAAGATTGGCAGATGAGACACGAGGCTTCTACTGGCACAAGCAAGCAAACCCCAGGTCAGCAGGTGAGATGGCAGGCTACCGATGAGTTTTAGGATTGGCAGGCAACACGGCAGGCTGCGGGCTCAAATCCAGAACCAGAGGTTGGATGATGAACCAGATGCAGGGATCAGGCCCAACAGAATGCAAAGAAGCATTGCCCAAATGTCCAGTGCACTGGAAGCAGGCCACAGCCCTGAGGAAATGGTCTTTCAATGGATTAGCTGTTAATGGCTGCTCTCCTCACACAGGTGATTCGATCAGCTCTTATCACGTCTTAATTGAAGAACCACCAACAATGGTGGGCCAGCCAAGCTGACACAAAGCACTGACTACAAGTAAAACTGATAGCTTAAAGTACAAAAAAAAAAAAAAAGCAGAATATTTGATATCCCAACATTTTATTCTAGGACAAACTTAGCAACTTATAAAAGGTAAAACAGCTAACTTTAAAATAAGAAAGAATGTGACCTACATAGAAACAACAAAACTTGTTACACCAAGTACATGATCAGAGTATTTTATTGCATATTAATTAATATCATGAAAACTAAAAAACAAAAAAGAAAAAACAGCACACTGGTGCACAATCCTTCCTACTTGTTATTAATAGTGAAATTCTTAAGAAAGGTAAAATGCAGGTTAGAGTGAGAAGGCAACCAGCATTAATAAGGACAACCCCACTGTTACAATGAAATGACCGTTTTCCCCAAAGGCTCACAGCAGCTGTGACCATTCCAGCCAGCAGTGCGTCTTGTTTCCTTAGTCATTGAGAAATTGTTCCTTAATCGATGACTCTCAGAAATTTGCTGTTTGAAATAATAGAAAGAAGAAGCATTCCACTTTTGACATATAGATTAGTCTCTCCACTATGAGTTACGTGCCAAGTCAGGACCTCCTGAAAGTCTCCCCACGTTTATTACATTTAGAAGGCCAACCTCACCTGTGAGTTCTTATATGCGTAGCAAGGGCTGAAAGCTGCTTAAAGGCTTTCACACACTGCTTACACTGGTAGGGCCTCTCTCCACTGTGCGTCCTCATGTGTGTAGTGAGTGCCGAGTGTTGCTTAAAGGCTTTCCCACACTCCTTACATACATAAGGCCTAACTCCACTGTGAGTCCTTCTGTGTGTAGTGAGGGAGGAGTAATCGCTAAAGGCCTTCTCACACTCTGTACACTGATAAGGCTTCTCTCCACTGTGAGTTCTTATGTGTGTCGTCAGAGCTGAGAGCTGCCTGAAAGCTTTCCCACACTCCTTACACTCATAGGGCCTCTCTCCACTGTGAGTTCTAATGTGTTTCGTAAGAGATGAACAATCCCTGAAAGCTTTCCCACATTCTTTACACTTGTACGGCCTATCTCCAGTGTGGGTCCTCATATGTGTAGTGAGGGCCGAGAGCTGTCTAAAGGCTTTCCGACATTCCTTACACACATAAGGCCTCTCTCCACTGTGTGTTCTTATATGTATAGTGAGAGAAGAGGAACATCTGAAGGCTTTCCCACATTCCTTACATTCATAAGGCCGCTCTCCAGTGTGAGTTCTTATGTGTTTAGTGAGGGACGAGGCTTCACTAAAAGACTTCCCACATTGTTTACATTCATAAGGCTTCTCCCCACTGTGCGTTCGTATATGCGTCGTGAGGGCGGAGAGCTGCCTGAAGGACTTGCCACACTCCCTACATTCATAAGGCTTCTCTCCAGTGTGAGTTCTGGTGTGAATAGTGAGGGCTGAGGCGTCGATGAACGTTTTCCCACACTCCTTACATTCATAAGGCCTCTCCCCACTGTGGATTCTTCGTATGTGTTTGGTGAGAAGTGAGGCGCGGCGGAATGCTGTGTGACACTCTTTACATTTGTAAGGCCTCTCGCCAGTGTGAGTTCTTATGTGTCTAGTGAGGTTGGAGGCAAGTCGGAAGGCTTTCCCACAGTGCTTACATTCAAAGGCCCTCTCTTCAGTGTGGGTTAGTAAATGTTTACTGAGGGACGAGGCGTGAGTGAAGACTTTCCCACACTCCTTACACTCGTAAGACTTCTGTACACTGGGAGCTTTGACACGTCTGGGGAGTTGTGGAGCCTCAGCAGAGCCTTTCCCACAATCCTTAGATTCATGGCGTCTCTCTTTAGTATGAGGCCTCTTAGTTACACTGAGAGCTGAGGAGTCAATAAAAACATTAATGCTTTCCTTGCAGTCATCAGGACTCTCTGCACTGTGGGTGTTTCTTATATGTTTAATGAGATTTGCGGCTCGTCCAAAGGCTCGTCCACATACCTTACATTTATAAGGCTTCACAACACTGTGGGCTTTGATATGTTTAGTGAGGGCTGAGAACTGCCTAAAGGTTTTGCCACATTCACTACATTTAAAAGGCTTCTCTCTACTATGAGTTCTTATATGTTTAGTGAGATACGAGGCGTACGTGAAGGCTTTCCCACACTCCTTACACTCATAAGGCCTCTCCCCACTGTGAGTCCTTATATGCGTTGTGAGGGCTGAGAGCTGCCTAAAGCCTTTCCCACATTCCTTACAATGAAAAGGTCTCTCGCCACTGTGTGTTCTCAAATGAGTAGCGAGGTAAGAGGCATAACCAAAGGCTTTCCCACACTGCTTACATTTGAAAGGCTTCTCTCCACTGTGAATTCTTAAATGTTTGGTAAGGTTGGAAGAACAGGTAAAGGTTTTCCCACATTCCTTACATTCATAAGGCTTCTCTCCACTGTGAGTCCTTACATGTTTGGTAAGGGATGAGTAATCACTAAAGGTTTTCCCACATTCCTTACATTCATAAGGTCTCTCTCCACTGTGAGTTCTGATATGTCTAGTGAGGGATGAGGTCTCGCTGAAGGCTTTCCCACATTCCTTACATTCATAAGGCCTCTCTCCACTGTGAGTTCTGATATGTCTAGTGAGGTTTGAGGAACATGTGAAGGCTTTCCTACATTCCTTGCATTCATAAGGCCTCTCACCACTGTGTGTTCTTATATGTTTAGTGAGCGATGAGGTCTCACTAAAGGTTTTCCCACATTGTCTACATTCATGAGGCATTTCTCTTTTATGAACTGTTTTATGTAAAATGAGTGGTGAAGAACTCGTATATATTTTACAACATTCCTTACATTCACAGTTTCTCATGTGTGTCCAAAAGGGTGGGAAACTACAGAAATATTTCCCATATTCACTGGGTTGCTCAGGAGTGAGAGCTGTGGCAGGATTTTTAAGCATTGTGATACAAATGAAGTCTTGCCCACATACCTTACATTTATGGAATTTCTTCCCATTAATAACTTTCATGGGAGTGGGCAGGAGAGAGGGACAACGGCAGGCTTCTCCACATTGCTTACACTGGCAGGTACTGCGTCCAGCGTCGAATCTGCTGAGATCATTCTGTGACGAGAACTCCATGAAGGCTTTTCCCTACTCACAGTCTTCAAAAGGATTCAGTACTGGATAACTTCTTAGCACAGTAAGATCTGGAGTCCAAGTGGATGCCTCCCACACCGACTGCCTTCACATTCATTTCACAGAGCCAGTCTATTGTACGATTTCTGTCAGAAACAAGCAACATGCTATTGGAAATACATCGGTTCACACTTTCATCAAATGCAGTGAGCTTGTGTGTGCGTGTTTTAATCAGACTTTCATCGCTTCCAGGAGAAATATACTTCAAATGTTCAACATCAGGCTCACGTTAAAGATAATGGTATTTGCTGAAAACGTAATTTTACAACTGGGCTAATGTACGCTGCTGGTGGGTTCTGTTGAGTCCATTCTGCCTCACAGCAATTCCGTACACAACAAAACGCAACACTCCCCGTCAGGCAGCACCTTTATGGTCGCCATGTTTGAAGCCACTGTTGTTAATGTAACTTGGTAAGAGCCTTCCTCTTAGACACACACTCACATATATACAAATATATATACCTTGTTATGACAAATTAGGATTTTTTTCCTGAAGAACTGTTCTGTTGTGTATGAATGGACACTTACCGCAAATGTTTCCTCTGACTTTTATGCTGAATTTTATGGTCATGTAACTTGGAGCTTTATCCAAACATGACGAAAAAGTTCTTATTCTTCATGAATTCCTCCACTGTATGTTGACTGGATAACTTTTTCTCATCATTAAGTTTTCACCAGACTGAATCAATCATTGCAGCTGAGGGGCACAATATGAAACAACATGGAAAGAGATTATTAGGGAAAAATAGTCATGACTAGCTGTGGAAAACGTGGTGAAGAATGAACATTACAGAACACGTATTGCGCTCATGAGGAACCGGTACACAGACCAAGAGGCAGGTGTTCAAACAGGATAAGGGAACGCTGTATGGTTAAAAATTAGGAAAGGTGTGCAACAGGGTTGTATTCATTTACCATACATATGTATGCTGAGCAAATAATGCGAGAAGCCAAATTATATGAAGAAAACTGTGGCGTCAGGATTGGAGGAAGACTCATTAACAACCTGTGATATGCAGATGATACAACCTTGCTTACTGAAAGACAAGAGGACTTAGAATTCTTACTAATGAAGTTGCACTTCAATGTAAAGAACACAAAAATTTTCACAACTGGACCAATAAATAACATCAAGATAAATAAAGAGATGACTGAAGTTGCCAAAAACTTCATTTTGCTTGGAACAACCATCAACACTCATGAAAGCAGTAGTCAAGAAATCAAACAACATACTCCATTAAGCAAATCTGCTGCACAAGACCTCTTTAAAGTGCTGAAGAGCAAAGGTATCAGTCTGAGGACTAAGGTGTGCCTGACCCAAGCCATGATATTTCCAATAGTCTCATATGCATGTGAAAAGTTGTTCAATGAATAAAGAAAACCATAGAATTGATGAAACTGAGTTATGGTATTGGAGGAGAATATTAAAAGTGCCATGAACTGCCAAGAGAACAAACAAATCTGTGTTGGAAGAAGTACAGTCAGAATGCTCCTTAGAGGCCGGAATGGCTAGACCTTGCCTCTCATACTTTGGACGTATTATCAGGAGGGTCCAGTCCCCTGAAGAAGGACATCAGGCTTGGTAAAGTGGAGGGGCAACAAAAAAGAGGAAGGTCCCCAACAAGATGGACTGGCACAGTGGCAGCAGCAATGGGCTCACTGCAGCAAACACTGTGAGGTTGGTGCAGGACCGGGAAGCGTCTAGTTCTGTTGTGCATAAGGTTGCTGTTTGTGGATACCGACTCGATGGCGTCTAACAACAAGGCTTCCTGAAAATAAGAAAGACTAAGCCACATTTTGCTGCTTTTGCAGTTTGGCAATGGTTAAAAGCAATCGAGTCCTGGTGTGGTGCTGAAGGATAAAGGCCAGACTGCTAACCTCTAGGTCGGCAGTTCAAACCCACCCATCAGCAGCAATCTGGTGACCCGACACAAGTCAGAATAGACTCAACAGCACTTTATAACAACAGGAAGTACAACTACACCTATGTGGTTAAAAGTGACAGTGACCCCGGAGATTTCGTTATAAGTCAAACAGCAGAACTGTGGACAGAGTACACAGGTAAAACATTAGAGAGGAAAAGGCCTCTGGGAGAGGATTACTAAAGCCAGAAAAGGAAACTCGGGTAGTTGCTGTAGCCTCATCCCTCCAGAACCTTTTTCTAGATGACAGTAGACTTTGCTGACATTGACTATCTCCACATTCCTTGCTCCTCTAGGAAAACAACTGGGTGAAGCCGCTTTATGCTCGTGGAGAATTTCATGCCCTGAAGAAAGAGCATGCAGAGCAACGAGCATTTCCCTGATAACAGCCCACACTACACTCAGCAGGGACTGGAAATATGGGACCATTGTGAACTATGGGCACGAAAAGAAACACACCAAACTAGTAATAAACACCAAAATTCTTGACACCAAAATTCTTGACAAAGTCCCAAAACAAAATCTCTCACTGATGCAAAGTTATCCCTGAAACCAGTGCTTATCCAACCCTGAGGACTGTCAGTTACAAGCTAAATGAGAACTCATTGTCCTGTAGGAAGCTTTCTGTTCAGGGAGAAGCCAGAATATGTGAGTTCCAGAGACCACACCAGGAGTTCTAGTGTGGTGCTATAGTTTACGAAACTAGGCTGCAAGGTCAGCGGTTCAAACTCACCAGCCACTCCTTAGAAAATCTATACAGGGTTGCTATGAGTAGGAACCAACTCAATGACACTTAACAACACAGATTAAGGAAAGATGTCTGTTTCACTGAACAATTTATCCCCACTCCTCAGCCCAAATACTGTAGCAAAGTTGATTATTAAAGTAATTTCCTCAATAAAGGAATCATTCGAGCAGTATTGGTGTGACGGTATAGGACAAGCACTGTACTGCTAATGTCAAAGTCGGCCATTCAAATCAGCTGTTCTTCAGAAATGACTCGGAACGTCCTCGACAGCACTTAACAATAACAAAGGAACAATAATTAAAATATGTCATTCTTGCCTAACCAGGTCAGGTTTCTGAAGGTTTCCATCACCATGATCTCTGGAGTTTTCTATAATCAAGATCTAGCAAAACCCAGCTTTCCTGGCTAAAGTCCATAACCACATCCTCACTCACGACTGAGTCTGAGAGCAGTCCACATAATCGGGATCAGCTACGTACCATGTAGTCTAATATGTACAAGAACAGAGGATGAGGCTGAGAGTCCAGGGGAAGAGAAAATTCAGACAGCTTTCACACCAGGGCTACCTTCCGTAAAGGTCTACGCTAGGGCACAGCCATTAGCCTTGTCCCTTCACAAACTATATTCACCTCTTCACTGACTTTGAACACACTGAAGTAATCTTTCCACAGTGTGACCACTACTAATTACAATCTTACTAATTTTTTTTTAAACTTTTATTGTGAATTGAGTGATAGTTTACATGGTATTTTGAGCTACTACATCCATATGTATAAGTCAAGTTCATCAAATTATAGCAATTTACACTGCTTTCTGTTATCAAATTTCTCTATCTTCCTCTAGTTGAGTTCTTATTATTAAGCCATCGAGGCTAGGTCAAATGGGTACTATCTGCAAATTTGGGTGTTCTTGTGCATCT